TGGGTTTTGGCGCCAATTTTGTGGATGGGGGCCCGTACGTGTATGTAGATTATGTCACCAAAGTTTCAGCCCCATAGCTTTTGCCGGTCTCGAGATGAAAAATCGGTACAGAGGCCCAGCGCACACACAGACACACGCACACACACACACAAACACACACACAGACACACACACACACACAGACAACCTCTCGTCAATATGCGCGTAGCGCACACACAGACACACACACAAACACACACAGACACACACACACACACAGACAACCTCTCGTCAATATGCGTTTTTCGCATTGCATTGAACACACACACAGACACACACACACAGACAACCTCTCGTCAATATGCGTTTTTCGCATTGCATGCTGACACACACAAACACACACACAGACACACACACAGACAACCTCTCGTCAATATGCGTTTTTCGCATTGCATTGCTGCAAAACACACACACACACACACAGACAACCTCTCGTCAATATGCGTTTTTTGCATTGCATAACTGCAAAAAAAAAGCGTAAAAACCAGTACTAGTGACAAAATATAGGCAAAAAGTCAAACTCCCCTCCCTATTCAGCTTGCTTCAAACACACACACAGACAACCTCTCGTCAATATGCGTTTTTCGCATTGCATCTAAAAAACGCATACAATCCTGGAAGCAAAGCGTCTAGGCAAAGAGAAGGATGGTGAAAGGCTTTATGAGATGTTACTATCAAAAGGACTTTTTTTTGCCAGTGATCGAATATAGCACGGGCTACTTACGGAACTAGAAATTCTTTGGAAATGAATTAATGTCGTGAAAACTTAAAAGCCTAGTTGTTTGAAATTGCATTACTAGTAAAGCTGCTACTAAAACAGCGCTGATTTTGGCAAATAATTGGCATTCCTGACCAGATGCGCTTTCTCAGCTTATATTTTTGGTATTATCGAATAATCTTATTTATATTAGTCCAACAAACAACTGTTAAAGGTACAGTGGCCAGAAGAGAGCTAGTTGCAATTTATTTGGTGAATTAATTAAATAAATAAAGCAATCTGCACGACCTTAAAAATAGGTGATAAGCACTTCAAGACATTACATAACACTTTGTGTGGAAAGAAATAGCCCGCATCCAACATTTTTAAAGTACTCCACCAGGTAGGTCAGCTGTCCCTGTGAAGTTCTCGATGCTTCCCAGCTGCAATCGAAGTTGAGTGCCATACTGCCCAGCTTTAAGTATGCTGACATTTCGTATTTTGCCGTAAAAGTATTAGCCCATTATCAAAAATTGTATTTAAAACATTTACGCTACGACCCCTACCAGAACAATGAATGCCATTTAACAAAAAAGTTGCTTTAAGTTTTTTTTAAGGTAACTGACTGGTTGATTTGGCTGAGGCGCCGGCTGCGAAGCTTGACAGTTGGGTCTAGTAACATAAACGAAACCAGCAAATGTGCTTACATAAACAGCGCTGGCTACACTTGGATCGCCCTTAGCCCAGCCAAAAATGGTTGAGAGGAAGCGTAGTGAATGTGATGACAACCAGCTCTGAATATACTCATAATTCAGAGAGCACTCGAAAAAGTGTTAAAACAAGAAGGAAGGTGAAAAATTAAAGAATTAAATTCAGAACTGATGGCATTACTATCAGTCGCATACCAGCTGCAACTGACGGTGTTTGCTCTACAAAGTACCTGTTCTTCCCTGTCCGAAATGCGTGATTTGATGATCCGCTATCCAAAGATATCGCAGTTCACAGTGATGATGATGACGTTAGTGCTCCAGTTTTAGGAAATACATTGATTACGATATAATTTGCGATGCGCATTCCCGACTCTGTTGAAGCAATAGCTTTGGTAACTCGAATGATGAAGAGATGGAAGTCCTGGGACAGCATTCTCGAGATGCAAAACAAAAATTCTGAAATCAGTTTTCTAGTCTCTCTTACTACTTTTTATGCGTTTTTGCTGTGCAGTGGGTGACAAAGTGCACTCTCTTCCGAACACACACACACACACAGACAGTTTCTCGACAATATGCGTTCTTGTTATAGCAGGCAAGGCAGAAAGCTGAAACTTTGCAGGGATATTCTCTGCGCATGTGCGAGTCAAAGGGTTCAAATTCAGCTGTCGTGCACGCTTGTGCAGCGCGTACGATCATGTCAAAGTTTTTAACTTGGTACTGTGCTAACTCGAAAACTTGCCGGAAAACAGTGATTGAAATTTTCTCAGCATGTTTCTTGCAGTCGCCAATATGGCAAATCGTATACCTAAAATGAGTATCGATTTGCACTTGCGCCACTATTTATGACACTTCAAAGTTAACTGTAGCGAAATGAATATTTCGCTTACCGCATAAACCGCGAGGCTGAAAATTCGCTGCAATATTCTACTTTCAAGTGCGATCTTAATTCTGCTTGGAGGTGAAATTCCCTGTGGATGGGCGTGAGAAATACTCAACTTTACCGAAAAATCAGAAACGAGTTTGTTTTGCAGCG